CCTTGCTGGATAAGCCAAAGGACCTCTTCAAGTCACTCGAGTACAAATCGTTAAACGAAAAAAAAAAAAATTTAATGAAAATGTTTTTGACATATAATCTACAAGGACTTCCAACAGGGTAAACGACGTTTGGGATGGGACGAATGCGCGAACCCGAATGCTCGAACGTACGGGACTCCTTGGGGATGCGTTCGACCATTTAGGCCAAATGCGGATTAAAATTAAAAAACACAAAATCTGAAAAAAGTTAAAAAAACATATGTTATGAAGAAAAATAAACTACACAACATTTGTCTGAGCATTACATCAAAATTCCTTACCAAATTTGAAGTAAAAGTAAAATATGGAAAATAAATACTAAGAATAAGAGAAAATGAAACGAGAATTAAAATTACCGAGTGAGTGAGGACGTTTTCGACATCGCCATTTTTGGCGAATTTGCATTTTGTTTTGGCAATATCCAAATGCCGTGAAAATTCAAAGATGTGTATTTTACATAATATAAAACTCATTAAAAAAGTTTCAAAAAAATAAATAAAAAATTCAGCCCCGCAATAAAGTGAAAACAAAAAGTAAAAAGTGGAAAAAGAACACAATAGTGAGTGGGCAAGCACATTTTGACACAACCATCTTTGGAGATTTTTAATTTCTGCTTGGATTCGCAAAATGACTTCAAACTTCATAGGCATATACTTCACATCATACAGAACTCATAAAAAATAATACAGAAGAAAAAACTTATTTTTAAGCCCCGAAATAGTTTTTGGCGGGGGTCAAACGCCTTCAGGTTTGGACCTCGAACGGGACCCCGGACGCTTGTACGTACGAAGGTCGGCCCAGGAACCTCCATACGTACAGACTGGTGACCCTGACTTCCATAATAATATTTTGAATTACTTGGGGTCAATTGGCTGTGGATATATCTCAACATTGTCACCCGTTTCCCAAGAAAAAAAGTTTGTTTGTAACTTCGAGGCCTAGTTCAAGCTATGCCTTCCCAGGGGCCAAAAGGGTTCGACACAATGACGACGACAATTACCATTCAATAAGTGAGTGGTGAGCATTGAGCATGCATTCACCTAGTCTTAGCAGAACCTCAGCTTAGTTAGCCCAATCGATGCATATGTGTAACAATTCTCACATACATGAATACTCAGTTGTCAAGAAACACATCAGCAATAAAAAAAAATGTTAAGATCACATGGGTGTATTGGTCCGTTAAATTCAAAAATGCTCGGTTGTGCGAGATTCGATTGGATAATTCAACAGGGACGAGCGAGACCAAGAAAGCATAAGATCATTCTAACATCCATCAGATAAACGGGAGCAAAGGGACAAAGTACACACACACACACACACACACACACACACACACACA